AAAGTTTCAAATGTCTTAATTAATAAATCTTTTTTAATTTCGTCATGTTTTGTTTGTGAAATGTTAATTAACCAATCGCCTAAAAACTCAAGTCCCTTTGTTATATCTTCTTCATGTAAATTTTTGGTAATACATGTTGTTGCACTTCTTCCTCTTCCAGGATGATGATAAATGTGTCCACCCAAATCTTCGTAATATAAACAACAAATACATTGAGGTTTGGTTAAATCAAATGTACGCTTACACAAAGATAGACATATTCGTAATGCATTACATGCATATTGGCCAATGCAAGATATTTGACTATTTTGACTATTCAAATTCCAAGAGTGCATATCACATCCCACACCTCATGAAAAGTAAGTTATATATTTATTACAAGTAATACATCGACGTCATTGAATAATTTCTTGACTAAAACTTTTCAATTGTTTATTTTGTGATTTATGCAAATATTTATTATCGAATTGAAAATGAGTATCACACACTCCTAATTTTGACAAAATGCTATCAACTTCTTTAATTGCATCTCTATCAACTTATCATGTACCAAATAAGTTGTGTAATTGTCTTAATTTTGTTGAGTTTCTACATCGCTGAATTTTATCTTTAACGAAATCAATAACTACACATGACGTGAGTTTTGCACTTTCCAAATGATCTATAATTTCTTCCTTTTCAAATTCTTCATAATCATCTTTCTCATTTTTATCAAAATCACTTTCATTAAAGTCTTCAAAGTTTTCAGAGTCTTCGGAGTCTATATCACTAGTACTATCATTATAAAATATTTTATTGAAGTGTTCTAATGAAAAGTCTTGTTTAAACTCTCCATTACTGCTTACTTCACTATCATATTCGTTCGCAAAAAATAGAGAAGGTGGGGGGAAGGAAATTTCATATTCTTGTTCTGACATTAGTAATTTCTTTTTGTCGAAAAGTAGGCAACTTGAAGCTTGAGATGCAAGTTATTAAAGACTTCTTTTACTTAAACAGAGATAAAAATCATTTATTCTTATCTCAATGCATCGATTTTCTTAGTGTTATGAACATGGTTAAATGACATTTTTGTATGTTGGCATATGGTCAAGTTTAGCGAATTTTCGTTCGTCAAATAAGTCGTTTATAGTAAAAATTTTGCAATAATTATCCGATCATGATAAAAATTTATATACTATAAATTTAAAGAAAAATAAGGTTTCCTGTGAAATTTCAACATAGATTATTATGTAGAATTATTTTTTTGAGCTCAAAAACCATTTTATTAAAAGTGCTAAAAATGCATGCTGATCATTATATTAAAATTGACTCCCCATGCCGATCCCTGACATGACCACCGACTGATAAATTTTTCTGACTTTAATTTGTTAAACGTAGTATGAATTTTTAATTACTAAATTCGGCATAGTAAGGATTTTTTTATATTTAAAAATCTGTATGATACTGAAAATCCGTTGTATTGTAAAATTCGTTATATCAAATTTCGTTGTAGAAAGAGTTGACTGTATATGAAAATATTTGTATTTGAAGTTTCTTTTTAAGTAGAAAAAATCAATGAATCCTTGAGTTGTTAAAATTGTTTTCACAAAAGATCGAACTGGATTATTAATTATGAGATTCTGAAATTTAGGAAGATATTTGACATGAGAAGCATCATCGAAAATTAATTTCATTGGGAATATAGAGCAAAAAGGGGGTTTTAGGACAGATGACCAAATCGCTTCCAAATCAATTCTAGCTATACAAATCAATTATCAAATTTAAACCTCTAGCGTATTTTGACTCAATTCTAGATGATGATATCAAATTTGGCTTAGAATTAACCTTCAAATATCAAGAATTATACTATTTGATATAACCATTCTAGCCTAATTTTAATCCCAAATAATATATCAAAAAAATTTTTACTATTCTGTTTACCTTAGAAGGAGCCATCAAAAATTAAGGAACAAAGTAACGCGATTTGAGCTGAGCCTGATCATTCAAGCATAAAATGCATACCAAAGTCAAAAAGTCTAACCAAAAAAATTTGTATAACCAAGTCTATCAAAAAAATCTAACCAAAAATCGCATAGCAAAGTCTATCCAAAAAAATTAATCAAAAGTTAATTATCTGAAGCAAAACCAACCTTTCAGGAAATCGAGAAGGTATTAATAAATGTAGTCAAAGCAGGAATATATTATAGAAAGCCAAAGGATGGCAAATTCATGCAAAACTATAAAGAGTGAGTAAAAAAATTATGTCAGGCAGAAGATCCTGATGCATATATCCTAGAAAATGCAAAAAGATTGTTCCCAGATAAGGATAAATATCATAGTATTATGGATGACTATAAATCTTAGTATAGAAAAGATCCAAAAATTCTTAACGCCATCATGGAACTATATAAATTATACTATAAATTAGCTAAGAATTATCTTATTACTGATAAACAAGTTGATGGAGAGACAGAAGACTTCTTATTATCACTTTAAAAATTTAATTCGTGAGCACCCACTGGGAAGGCAATTCTGTATCATAAGGAATAATTATCAATTCTTCTCGAATAAAAGATCTTTTAGGATATTTGAGAATATAATTATACTTATCAATTAACTTAAAGGGAAAAACTCTCTCCTTTATTTTACAAAACCAAAATTTTCATACGAAAAATAAAAAATTTAAAAGTTTGTTTTTAATAAAAAATTAATTAATAAACCCAGTATAAAGAAGGTTTCTTTTGTTTTACTCCACCTTCTTTACTACGCGAGAGAGTTATGACACGTAAAAGTGTCACAAAATAAAAAATTAGTGACCTCAAGTTCATTCCATACGTCGCTCCAAAAGCACCAAAAGAAGCTGTTATTTCTACACCAGCCCTTTCGTCTTCTTCAACCTCCACTTCTGTCTCCACTAACTTAGATTTAGAAATTGTCCAAGAAGTTTTTGGTTCACCACCTGAAAAAACAATGGAGTTTGAATTTTTCGACGTTTCTAAAATTGCTACCTCTAACAAAATTTCACCAGTTATTCCACCTTCGAATAACAATAATAATAATAACAACAAAGTTGACGATATTCCTGAAATCTCTTCTTCAGCTAAAGATAGATCAAAACTTTTGAATTCTGACGAATATCTCAAAGACGATGATATGGAAGAAGACTTAAAAGATTTTACCATTGTTACAAAAGCTACTTCCTTTGCAGTTGCTAGTAATATCAAGTTTACACACAAAGAAAGAACAACAGCAAAATTATTCTTGCTATCAACAATGTTTTTGCTTAATGACGATTTTAAAGGTGTTTTAGTTTATCGCGTCAATTTAACGCGTTCTGTAATTATCTATTTTGCAATGTCAAACGCAGCTGCCGCAGCTTTACACATGACTATTCCTGATCTTAAGATCGACACTTTTTGTGATTTCTCTTAATATAAAGCTGATATGCAATTCAACAAAAGGACTATTCATGTCATCGATATTCCTTTATAAATAAAGCCAGCTAATATCCAACAAGTTTTCACCAAATATGGAACTGTTACCAATTTTAAAATGACAGTAAGAGGTATGTGGCAATATGCCTATATCACTTACGAAAACCCTAAATATATTAAACTATTTCATCAAGTGTGAAGTCATTTTGTTTAGAATGATTCTGTCTGTGTCAATCCTTACATTTTGTCTCTAAAAGAAATTAAATATAGAAATACTCACTATATCAAACTAACTAATATTCCTTTTGGTACCTTTGCAAGAGATCTTCATGATACAGTCAACCCTTGATATAACGAATTTTATGTCCTGAACTTCAACTTCGCTATAGAGCTATAGTGAATTTTTTAAAGAATTTGATTGGCTAGTTCGTTATAACGAGGGTAAATTTAATATAGTTGTCCAAAAAATTCGTTATATAAAAATTCGCTATAGAGAGGTATGACTGTATAATTCTTGCTACTAAAGCTAGAGCTAGTTATATTCCTAGATCTAACAACTATAAGCCTCGTTCCTTTGTTATTTTGCACTTCGAAAATAAGAAAGCTCTCAATCATGCAACTCAACAAAACTTTGCTTTTGATAATAATTAACTGATGTGGTATTCTCCTGATGCTAGAAGCTGTCACAAATGTGGCGATCCAGCTCATCTTGTTATGAAATGCCTCTTTTTACAAAAATCAGTTACATTAAATGATAATGAAGAATCTATTAAACCGAAGATACCATCTCAAAACAATTCAATGCAAAGACTCTATTATAAATATAAACCTGCTGGCTTTAGAAAATTTGTGGATTCTAATCAATCCAACTGATTTTCCAAATCTTATTCTGAGGCTATTAAAAATAAGAATACTCCTCCACCTTCACCACCAAAAGATGTCATCAAACCAACTGTAAAGGATTCTGTTCATAATCTGAATAATGAAATCAATAATAAATTAGATCAGATTCTCTCAATTCTCTTCAATATGAAAAAGGATATGAATGAACTGAATGTTAGAATCACCAAATTGGAATCTTTTCAGGCTTCCTTTACAATTACGTTCATAGTAATTCCTTCGACTACTGTTAGTAAAGGAAAAGATCCATCAATAGTTTCACACGTTTCTCAATCTTCACCTAAATCACAAGATACATCTAATAAAAGATCTCGCATTGCTGGATCTTCTAGTGATGACTCTTCACTCTCACCAATTTTGACCCTAAAACCTAACCTTACTAATATGGTGAATGAACAAGCTACTGTTACGCCAGTTCTTTAAAACGCTCAACTTAAATAGGCGTTATGATTATGTATGCAGAAGGTTTCCTTCATAAAGAAGATAAAGAACTTAATTATAATTTATAAGTGTAAGGAAAATATAATAATTCGCATAGGATAAATGATTAACAAACAAAATTATAGTACTGCCTCTGTCGGCATGTCTGTACTAAACAGTTTATTTATTAAAGACTTTAAAACTACTAAAACTAATATAAGACAAAACTAAAATGATTTATCGATACTTGATCCTAAGTTACTCCTATTTATATAAAAACTATCCTATATAACGTTAAAATAATTTAAATA